GCTCTCGACATCTGAGAACATTCTGCCCTCAGCCTAACATGAAATATAGTTATGGGCAAATTCCCAGTTGCGATGCTTAACAAACTCTAATGACAAGCTTTGATCAGTGTATATTTACAATAAATAAAACAGTACTTGCCAAAACCTTAAAAAATGTATGATTGTTTTGGCACTATGTGAATATAATTACTATAGCCCTGGAGGAAAGTGATCCTTGTTTTGCAGCCTGCGCTCTTAAAACAATCAAAGTCTGACCTAACAGCTCCCTATGCCGTTTACTTCAGTTCATCTAAACATGAAAAGTCTGCCATTAACACACAAAGTTATCGTATCGCTTCAGAAGGCTTGAAGTGTGATGCATGACTTATATAGACCACATACAGCATATGGTGTTTTTGTCTTTTCAAAGCCTTTTTGATCACTATGAATCGTTGCAGTATGGAAAAGAGCTGCATAAGGGTTTACAGAAAAAAATCAGCAATATTGAAACATTGAAAGTGATTAATTACAGAATTGTTATTTTAAATTAAAGGGGTGGTTCATTGCGATTTCACTTTTTTTAACATTAGTGTCTAATGTTGCTGTTTGAGCATAAACAATATCTGCAAAGTTACGAAGCTGAAAGTTCAATGCAAACGGAGATATCGTCTTTTAAAATTCTAGCAGTTTAATGCCTACAAAAACGGCTGGTCGGGACTACAACGAGTCACTTCCCGGGTTCGTGACATCACAAACCCAGATAAACCCCGCCCCCGGGAACACACAAGAAGGGGGCGAGGCCATGCTGCGCTGCTTTAGAGAAGAGGAAGAGAAAACTAAAGGTGCACGTAAAAATCTAGTCATAAATGAATCGCGATTCTGTCTTCTAACGATTCTAATGGATTCACAAGTTTCAAAATCAATGTTCTAAAGCAGCGGTTCTTAATACTGTTCCTCGCGTTCCCCTGCTCTGCACACGCTCTGCATCTCTCTCTCTCTCATTCAGCTCAGCTCCAACAATGAACTGTTCCAATTCTACACTTATTTTCACATAGCTATGAGAAGCGTTAAACATGGACGCGCGTGCAGTTGCCGTACTGTATTAAAGCTTTAATTAGGATAAAACTGTATATTAAAAGCTAACATAAGCAGTAGCATTTACAAATAACAGCTTATCTAAAAGTATGAGACAACAACAAACAAAAAACATAGGCCTACCATTAAAAGCCGTGCTTGCACAGGTTCTGCGCGATCCTCTTCAATAATATCCTCTGCTTCTCAATCGGGCTCAAACTTATAAGCGATATTAACGATGCAGTTGTTTACAATACAACTGGAGCACATGCCGCTGAGGTGAGGGGCGGGACATTTAGATGCGCACTAGAGGCGGTTTAGCCAATCACAACACACTGGGCTAGCTAACCAATCAGAGCCCATCGCGTAATTCTGAGGGAGGGGCTTCAAAAAAAGAAGGAAATGATCAGCGTGTTTATGGGGGAAGGGACAGAGTGGTGTGGAATAAAGGTAAATTATGTGAAAAATAATGTGTTTTTAAAAAAACGAAGCATTAACACATGTTAGACTGCACCCCATAAACACAATCAAGCCTAGAAAAAAAACAGTGAACCGCCCCTTTAAATATCCCTTTAAAAATACTAAGCAAGAATAAAAAAAAAAAAACTGTAATACCTGCTGATTGTGACTGAACTGTCCAGAAATTAAGACTGACCCACAGCTGAAGAGTCTCCTGACAAGCCTGACAGCCATGTGGTCAGTAAATGCAGGACACTGTTTACAGGGTGCAGACAGTTGTGAATTTCAGTCATTCATCTGCTCCTTTACTTTGACAGACAAACAACCAGGTCTGTCTGCCAGCCAGTAAATATGAACAGTGGTTTATAGCACTTTCTCTCCACATTAGTCATGTAAGCTATTACTCAGTAGACTGCAAACATGAGTAGTTTATTTGTAGACATTTGTTTGTTTTTGAGTATTTCTATATTTTTTCCAACTTGAAAAAACTGTAGCCTACCTTCGGTTTTAAACTGTTGAATTGCCTGCTTAATTTATTACAGCTGTTTGTCATTGAGAGGAAAGTAATTATCGGTTGACAACATCTGATGAACGCTCATCACACAGACACTCGAGAGACAACAAATATTTAGGAAGTACATTAAAATGCTGTGAACAGTACTTGGTACATGAAAAGGAAAACAATTATGTAACTGATCATTTTGAGTACAGGCACAAACTCATGACATTACAAGCCAACTTGTTACTAAATGTAATGACACAACACAACAACGACAATGCAATTAAAACTGGAAAACGATCAAACACTGCAACCATATTAATTATTCATGCCCCAGTGGCTGCTGGGAAGAGTGCAGATGAGACTGATAAACAAAAATAAATTATTTTTAGGCCAGTTTGGGGCAGAAAAAGACTTGTGTTTGTGGATGTATCATAAAGATCAGTGTACTGTATATCGTAATGGAAAAGTTAAAGATGCTGACTTCAAAATTGTAAGTAAACAAAATACTCCTACAAATATGTGTGTGTGTCTGCAGTATTTACTTATCTTTTTCAGTTTATTAAAAATAAGTGCTTCTTGTTAGAGTTTGTATTGTTGTTGTTTGTGTTATGATTTATCTTTCTCAAAAGGTAATTTATAAAATAAAATATTTTTTTAAATAAAACATTTATTTAAAAAATTGATAGCTAGGTGGTTTGCTATTTTTTATATAATGTAGCTTTATATGTACATGAACAGTATTAATTGATATTGGACATCAAAATAATATTAATAAAAAACTTGTAAATGTAAAATTCAAACACACACCAGTCCGTTCAGTTTAAATTATTTAAAAGTACGTTTAAACTATTTTTCTAAATTAATATTAGTGCAAAATTCCATCCATCCATTCATATGTACTTTGAAGGGGTCATAGGATGCTACATGCACTTTTACAAGTTGTTTGAACTGAAATGTGTGTTGGCAATGTGTTTACACAACCACTCTATAATGATAAAAATCCACCCGGTGTTTTTTTTTAATCTCGTTAAATGTTTTCCCCTTTCTCAAATCAAGCCGATCTCAGATGCCTGTCTGTGTGACA